GTAACGCGACGAGCTCCAGCGACGCCGGAAGGCATCCGGCCATGCGGGACCGACGGCAAGGGAGGGGGGACGACGACACAGCGCCGCGTAGCTCAGCGTAGCTCAGCGTAGCGCCGAACTTGGATGCCAAATTTCTGTGCCGGAAGATACATATTTAAGGCCGGCCTTTTTTACCGCCCGGCCGACCTAAAGCAGCAGTGGGCCTCCTTGCGGGGAAACCGTCGTCCCCAGGGCCGTGCGCGCCGTGCAGGACGCCCCCGCCCCCTCGCCCAAACAATGATTGGACCGGTCCGGGACCCCCGCGCCATGTTACCCCTCCCCCGCACCGCCCGCACGCCGTGGGGGATGTGTTAACGAAACAGAGAGAGAAGAGGAGGGAGGGAGGGAGTGAGAGAGAGAAGGAAGGGCCGAGCGGCAATGACGGAGATGGAGCATCGCGTCGAATAATGGCGAATGGGAATCACAGCAGCAGCCAAAGGGAATCGGGACGAAAAATCGGGGAATGGGCGCGGCTATAGCAGCGCCGCGACGACGACGCGGAGGGAAAACGAACGAACGGCCGTGGAAATAAGTCTGTCGGAATGTGGGGAAGGAACGGCGCAGCGCCAGCAGCGCAGCCGAGCGGCCCGAGCGCCAGCAGCGAGACGCCCGCACAAAAAGATTTCGACATTTGGCGCGCCCGCGAAGCCCGGCCCGGCCAAGCCCCTGCTTCTATCTTCGCGAGGCCTTCTCTCTTCTTCTTTTTCTTCTTTTTTTTCGGCAGGGGGATGAAAGCCGGGCGCTAATACAGCAGCACGTGTGTGTGCAATCAGAGGTGCGGAACAGAATGAGGGAGGTCAGGCTGAGCGCTGCTCTCTCTCTCTCTCTCTCTCTCTCTCTCCTCTCTCACACACACACACACACAGTGGCGCGGCACCGTGCTCGACGGGTCCCGGCCCTTCGCAAGGTCGTGCCCCAGCTGCCGCTGGCCTCCGCTAGCCTTCGCCACGCCTTCGCTAGCCCGGCAGTTTCAGCAGTTCGCCTGCTTTCATCACTACTTGAACCCTTCCGCCGCCGCCCCCACCGGCCGACCGCCCCCGCCGCCCCCCACCGCCCCGAGGTACTTCGATACAGGTCCCGCTTGCTTCTCATCGGCGCCGCCCACCCCCTTCCAGGCCCCCTTCCAGGCCGCCACGCTCGCCTACCCAGGCCTGCCGTCATACTGCCCGTAAATATTTCGCGTTCCAATTAGCGAAAAAGACGGGCCGGCGCGGCCGGCACGGGCATTAGGGTTTGGGCGGACGGCTCGGCCGGCTCGGCCCGAGATGGGATGGGACGGGACGGCGAGGGGAGCGACAAAGAAATGTTCGTTCCGCGAGTCCTTTTACTCTTTTTTTACCCCACCTTTTCTGTTATTTTTTGCGCGCGGCGGGCAACGCGCGAAGACGGCGCGGAATGCGGGGCGCGCTAAAAGGTGCGAGCCGTCCGAGCCGATATAACCCGCGCGGTGTGGAAAATAAAAGACGCGGCGTGAAAAAAATAAAATGAACGCAAACCGTGGAAATTGGATCGATTACCCTGATTGCAGGACGTGGGCCTGGAGGCGAGTCTGGAGGCAGCGGCGCCAGCCCCGCCCTGCCGCCATGCCACCCGGACGCAGCGACGCAGCCCACATTTCTTTCTGTATCAATATTACTTTCCGCGGGTTGAGGCGCGCCGCGACCAGTCATGAATCTACAATAAGTCTGGTCGAAAGGCGCAGTCGGCTCGGAGTCCCGTCCCGGCCCGCCCCGCCCCGCCCCGCCCCGCCCCGCCCCGCCCCGCCCCGCCCCGTCCGCCGCGCACCACGTCCCGCCGATTTCGATCGCCCGCCCTGCAATTCCACAGTTTCCCCGCGAGTCGAGCGGCAAGTTTGAAAAGGAGCCGTGCAATATCTGGGTCCGCTCGTGCGTGCCGGCCCACCAAGTACACGGCCGTCTCGAGGGGGAGGAGGAGGGGTGGGGGGCACCGCAACTGTGGCCAGAGCTACACGGAGCCGGGGGGAGGGAGTGCAGTTCAAGGAATAGTTAAGTTGAAGGAGTTGGCTGGCGCACGGCGGGGCGGAGCGGAGCGCGCTGCTCAGGCGCCCTGTGGTCTGTCATGTGTGCGCGTGGGGGGGTGGGGGGGAAAGGCTGGCAAGGCTGGCAGGCCCTGGGCGAGAGGTAGCGGGTTAAATGAGGTCGGGGCTGGTTAAGGCCTTAAAGGCCTTGTTACTCCACAACGTACGAGACGGCGCCGGCAAAATAGCCAGGGGCCAATCTCAGCCATACGCCCTGCTGTCGACCCGGCCCGGCAGACCCCGGCAGACCCCGCCACGGCACACCGGGACCCGTTTAAGGACTCGTACACTGCCAAGAAGACCGCGACCCCGAACGGCGGCAAGCCGGCCCCACTCCAGCCCCCGATTTTGCGACAAGGGTCGACGCGAGTGGATTTCCCTCGCCGAGTGGCGGGGCGTTGCGGCGTTCGTTCCGGGTCGAGGCAGCACTCCAACACCACTCCGGCGGCGCAAACACGAGAATACGCGATACCTGCGGTGCCTGCAGCGTTTGCAGCGGCCAGACACGCACACTAGTACACTGTCACGCTGATCCCGCCAGGATAAAATACCGGATATCCGTCACCGCCACTTCCGACAATAACTCAGTCTACAATGGGCACGGCGCGCAGACGCTCCGCGCGCTTCGCTCGCTGGGGGGGCTGCCTCCCCTCGGAGCAGCCCCGCCAGACGCGCCCCCGCCGCGCCCCGCCGCGTTACGCACGCTTCACACAGGTATTTCAAGTGTGCCCTTTGTTCCCGGGGAAACAATGGCGATGGCGTCCTCCTTTATTACGGCCGCGCGCCCCGCCGCCTCCACCGAGGCCGTGCCGGGCCGAGCCGAGCCCTGACGATGACGAAGGAGGCCGGGCGGGCCGGGCGGTGCAGCAGCATTCCTCATCCATCGCTCCCTCACGCGGTCGCCGGCCGCCACCACGGCCTTGCCACCACCAGGGCCTCGCCGCCACCAGGGCCTCGCGGCCACCAGGGCCTCGCCGTCACCAAGGCCTCGCCACCATGGCCTCGCCGCCACCAGGGCCGGGACGCACGATGCGACTTACGACCCCCGGAACAAAAGAAGGGCTGCCGCCAGGGCACGCCGGACAAACGACCCACACGGCCGCCGGCCTCGTGACACTGGTAAATGTCTCAATAGATTCAGAGAAGAAAGGAAAAAACGGGAGAAAAGGGGGAAGTTAGACTCGGATCTCACGCCTGGCTCTTTTCTGAGCTCTGCTACGCGACGCTTGATGGTTTGTAGCGGTAGGCTGAGTCAACATGTGTACTTTAATCGAAGGAAGGTCGAAGCCCCTTGAATTAATTTGAAGCAGTCTAACCAAAATTAACCTGTGCTACCTACCTGAGCATTTTGTTGTCTTTCACCTTGAAACCAGCAGAATTCAGTCTGTTCTTACGCACCTTGACGGCCGGCCAAGAGGGACGTAGGAAAGAGAGTCACTTACCCTGGAATGCTATCGCAGTGGTTCTCAACCTTAGGGTCGCGACCCCAAGTGGGGTCGCGAAAAAATTTTAAGGGGTCGCGGCGAGGTAGCTGGGGTCGTGTTTTGGCCGATTTTAAGCAGCCCTGCGTCTGATCCGAGGCGGGCATTTTGCTCCCTCAACCGGCAATTGGGCTTTGAAACCCTTTCCCTTTTGCATGCCTTTGTTACGAGTGTGATTACAGTCTTAGTTTGGGAGCAGTATTGTCTCAAAGTTGGCCGAAACGGTCAGAATGTCTTTGAAAATCGTGTTTTGGGCCTATTTTAAGCAGCCACTGCGTCTGACCCGGGCGGTATTTCGTCCTCCTTCAACGGGCAATGGTCTTTGGACCTTCTTTAGCATGCCTTTTTACGGAGTGTGATTATCAGTCTTAGTTTGGGAGCAGTATTGTCTCAAAGTTGGCCAAACGTCAGAAATGCTTTGAAAAATCGTTGGGCCTTTTTGGCACTTTGAGACAATACTGCTCCCCAACTGATGCTAATGCCTTCGTACAGAGGCATTTCTAAGGAAGGTCCAAAGGGCAAATTGCCCGTTGAGGGGGCAAATGCCCGCCTCGGGTAGACCCCAGGGCTGCTAAAATCGACCCAAAAAACATGATTTTTTAAAGAAAAATTTTATTTTTGGCCAACTTTGAGGGGCAATATGCTCCCAAACAAGACTGATAATCGCACTCCGTAACAGAGGAATGCTAAAGGAAGGTCCAAAGACCAATTGCCCGTTGAGGGAGCAAAATGCCCGCCTCGGATCAGACGCAGTGGCATGCTAAAGGAGGGGTCCCGTGGGGTCGCGAAACTTTTCCTGGGGGTCGCGGAAATTTTTGGCTACAAATTTGGGGTTGCGAGCCGAGAAAGGTTGAGAACCGCTGTGCTATCGTGACGCAGCTTGTTCACCCGAACTTTAACTAAGATTAATTAATGAAACCTACCTGAAAACACCGTCAAAACTTACCTTGACCACGTCCCCTGTAATTTAATGACAGCGTTTTATTTTTTAAGTTACTCACCGTAATCGTTGTGGCGCATTGTCTTTGAACTTACCTGATAAAAGATGAAAACCCCCTGATTTCACCTACCTCGAGAGATACCAGCTCACTCCATCGTCTTCGAACTTGAGTGACAGCAGCTCAAAGCGTTACTCACCGTGGCTTTGCGCATTTATGGCCTCAGAGCAACTTACCCCCAGAACGAGAGGGCTTCATCCCCGACGCAAAAGTAACAACTTTGAAGCGTTCCACGCCGCGGTTCCATCCCGGCAGTCCCGCTGCTCTTTCCAGGCCTTTCTCCAGGCACTACAAATCACGGTCTTCCCATAATCGAACAGTATGACTTACAGTGGGGACATAAATCCGGCCAACATAAAGGCGGCTCTTCGTCCCCACGCACTACACTTGGACGGGGAGCGCGCTCGGGCAGACAGTGCGTTGCGTTGCAGTGCAGTGGCCTACCTTGGGTTGCCTCGCAGCGCGGCGTGGTGCAGCGCGTTGAATCCGTTGCTGTTGGTCAGCGTGATGTCGGCGTTGTTGTCCAGCAGCAGGCTCAGCATGTCGTCCCGCTTCTTGGAGATGGCGTCGTGCAGTGGCGTGTCGCCGTCCTCGTCCTGCGGCACAGCGCGAGTTTAGACAAAAAGACGCAAAACCGCGGCGGGTAGCGAGGCCAGTGGCGAGGCCAGTGGCGAGGCCAGTGCCCCGCGCCGCGGGGTCCGTCACCAAAAAGGGGCGCTCCCCTCTCCACCGTCCGGAAATTAAAAGTATTAATTAAAGCGTTAGGCGGCGTAATGGCCGAGTCTAAGTAACCGACCAAACTTGGCCGGGCCGGGCGACGCCGGGCGACGCCAACCCCTTTCGTTAAGTTGGCCGTTTTTATTGAGACGCGGCGACGCGGCCGTGATGACGACGGCGTCCTCGCCGCCCTGCTGCCGAGACTCGTTTCCGCCGCTCTGTCTCTCTCGCCCTCGCCGGGCGTCCTGCATGGGTGCGAGAGAGACAGAGCGACGGAATGAGTCCGGTGCCCCGGCGTCGTGTCATTCCGTACAGCAGCCTTGGCAGCCCCGGCAGCATGCAGGCCCCGGCTCGGCTCATCTCCACGGACGGCGCCGAGGCCCCGGCTGCGTCGTGCGCTCGGCTCGGATATCATTGACGGCGAGCGAGCGAGCGTGAAATGATTCCACGGGTAATCCTCCCCGCGTGCCGGCAGGCGGGGCGGGGCGGTGGGCGTGGTGGGGCGCTAGAGAGCAGGGGGCGGGGCGGCGGGGCCGCGGCAGCAGCGAGCGCACCAAGATCTACCCTCAGCGCCTTTTATGGCAAATGCAGGCAAGGAATAGATAGAGCAACCTCTGGCTGGGATGGCGGCCTGAGTTATGCCTGCCTTTACGTCCTCAACGTCCTCGACGTCCGCCTGCAGGCCGAGGCGCCGTGGCACCGCGCCGCCCCATCGATGCTGTCTACCACGCCCCGCCGCGGCCCCGTCGCGGGGGGCCTACCGAGTACTCACATTCTTTTATGGACACTAACCCCGGCAGGGGCTGGCGGGCTGGCGGGGCTGGCGGGGCTCAGCACTACACATAAGCTTACCGGATTCAAAGCCGGCCTCGTGGGGCTCCATCTCAAGTGGCCGGCATAATGCAGCCGCCCGCCTCTCATTCCGAGACTCTGTCTCTCTCGCACTCGCGGGCCGTCCCGTATAGGTGCGAGGGAGACAGCGCGAGGGAAACGACTATCGGGATGAGTCTGCTGGATGGACGCGGCGGCCGGCCCCGCGGCGTCGACGGGCTGCCGGTTCACCCGGCACCGTATTTGTCCAGCCTGCTTTTCAGACAGCAGCGCAGCAAGCGGAGGCAGCTGGGGATATTGGCAGCACAGGGCGAGTGGGGGCGGGCGAGAAGGGGCCAAACGATCCAGTCCAAAACGGCCAAAAATCGGAGATAGCTGGAAAGCCCAAACGGTCCAAAAAGCCAAAACAGCTGGCAAGTTCAAAAAGGTTGGCGAGCCCGAAAGGACCAAAAGATGGTAAAAAGGCCCAAGGCAGTCGGGCGGCGCTGCGCGCTGCGGTCGGTGGCCCGGGCCGTCTTGGACGGGTCCTGGAAGGGTCCTGGACGCCGAGACGATACAACGCTCTCATTTTCCGCGGATCAATGTCTTCATTTACGGAGGGGAAGGGAGGCGGCCGTCTCGAGCAGAGAAATAATATCGAGAGCGGCGAGCAACAAGGCCAAGATATTGAAAGGGCGCTTCATTGCTTCATGCCCCATCGCTTCATTCGTGCATTCGTGCATTCGGCAGGCTGGCTGGCTGGCTGGCTGGCTGGCCGGCAGCGGGGCACACATAAAGGGCGCATCGCGCACGCCCCCACGCCGGCGACGCCGGCGCAGTTATTGCTACAGCGTCCCAATTTGAATTTAATGTTATGGCAACAATAAATAATGTGCGCTAAGCGATTTCCAATAAGCTGGAGAGAGTTGCCTCCCCCCTACGCGGCGGTGTGGCGCGGGCCCGAACCGCCCGAGCGCCAAAACCCGGGGAACGGAACGGGGCGACCCGGGGCGACCCCCACGGCCTCCAGGCCCCACATGGGCTCCAAGGCCGCTCCAGCAAGCTCCAGCAAGCTCCAGCGCTCGCGCAGACCCCACCGCCAGGAGCGCTCCAAGAGCGCCTCAGAGGGCCCCTCAGATCCCCCTTCACCGCGTCAACCACGTCAAGGCGGTTAACGTGCAAATAATCAATCAGCCTATCTATCGGCAGGGGCCGGCAGGGGCCTTACCGCCGCCACTCGCGGCTCTTCTCATTAATTAATTTATTTCGGCGCGTCTTTCCTCCAATTAAGGACTGCGCGTCATCGAATGGATCACACGGCGTGCCCGTATTATCATTTTTATCCCGGCGGAGGGGCGATCCGCCTTCGGGCCTTCGGTCCGCCGCGACCAAAATTGGAGCCAAGGGCCCGAAAGGGCATGAAAGGGCCTGAAAGGGCCGCCGCGCGCCACTCCGCGCCACTCCACCCATTACCGGCCAAAAACACCGTGAGCGATGCTTTTGTGAAAAAAGGATGCATTATTCAGCCACACTTTGATATCGGCCATCGTGTGCAGCGCGCTCGGCCCAATACTACACACTCACACTCTCACACACACACTCACACACACTCACACACAAGGGCGGGAATTTTATACCCGGCCAGGCCGAAAGGGTGGAGGCGAGTATGGCTTTCCCCTTTGTTTTTGCGTCGAGCGGCGGCGCCACTCCCGATCATCACTGGGCCACCGAAATGGGCTTCGCCGAAACACTCTGATGACTGATGCAGAGAGGGAGTCCTTTTCGTCGCGCGCTGTCTCTCTCTTTCTCACTCGTGCGGCGTCCTGTGTGGGTGCGAGAGAGACAGAGCGACGAAAACGACTCTCGGAATCGGTCTGCTGATGACTGGAGCGCGGCGCTGGCGCCGTTTGGTGCCGAGTGGCGGCCGGTGGCTGCAGTTCCGGCCCCGAATCCTCGGCTCCAGGCATCACATCGACGCGCCAACACACTGCCACGCACGCTCGCGCCACGCTCACCGCCACGCTCCACGCTCAGACGCCCCCATCCCGCGTAGGCCTAACGGCCCACAGCGCCACGGCGGCAGGTGCCCCTTAGGTATAGATAAGAGCCCGCAACTATTACCCCAGAGTCCCTGCCGGTCCCTGCCTATAGCGCCGCCTGGCCGTGCCTGGCCGTGCCTGGTGCACTGTGGGTGCTTCAGCGGCTTCCCTGGCTTCAGCCCCCCCCCCCCCACGCCGCAATATGGGAACGCGCTCCTGGGATCGTGCATGGGTCGCACTCCACCCACACTCAGGCTCCAGTCACGCTCCAGTGGGAGCGGTATCAACTCGAGATTTACGTGTACACTAATTTCTGGATGGTGATTTAAAAAATATACTGATTACACGGTAAAAACGGTTCCTGATTTTTTCAGGTACCCTACGGTAAAGAGGTGGGCGATCTCCAGGGAGCTCCTGGGAAAACCAGGAACCGTTTTCGCCGTGTGCGTTGATCACATAATTTCAATCATTAGGTAATCAGTGTCCGTGAAAATCTTCGGTCGGTTACCCCTTTCGCTCGGGGCGCGCTGGAGGCGCACTGGAGTGCAGCCCGAGTCGCACTGCGGCAAAGTTCCGCACCCGAATCCTTTCCTTCCTTCCACTCGGCCGCACTTGCAGAACCCGAACCGACCAGAGTACCCGCCGCACTTGTTCGTTCGGCCCCGCGTTTCCAGTCCAGAAACAAAGGACAAACTTATTCCCTGCGCACACTGCATCGCCGATCCGGACCAGCGGGTGATCCTGCGGGATGACTTTGCTCCGCCGGGGGGGGGGGGGGGGCACACTGCAGGGCACACGGGCTCGAACCAACAAAAAGCTCACTTGGAGCGGACTGCCGGCCCTGCCGCCACAGCGCCCGTCAACCCCGGCGTAGGCCGGCCCGTCGGACACGCGCGTCGGCGGCTTGCCTACGCCGCAGGGGCTCTGTCTGCGGTGGCGCGCTGCGCGCTGGAGCGGAGCAGCAAGCAGTGGACTGATTCCGAGAGTCGTCGCTGTCTCTCTCGCACTCACGGGATGTTCTTGCGGGTGCGAGAGAGACAGAGCGACGAAGGCGGCTCTCGGAATCAGTCTGCTGGTTTTAATGTCGCTCGTCGCGTCGGCGGCAATGCCGACGCCTGGCAGACAGGCGGGACGTCTCAGACGGCGTCCCGGCTGCATTCCGGAATCCAGCGTCCTCCTCGAGCTGCTGCTGCTGCCTCCCAGGCTCCGCGCCCACGCCGCGGCCGTCGGGCCGACGCAGGCCCGACAGAACAAAGGACTGGAACTGACAGTGCTGCGTCAGCGCGTCAGCGCGGGGGCCATGCGTTTGCCCGCCCCAACCCCACCCACACTCCCAAGAAAAAAAAATCGGACCGCAGATAATTTCTTTTATTTCGCTGCTGTCCGCTTTTTGTGCGGCCGGTCAAAGCGGGATCTGCATAACGACAAGGGAGGCCGCGACCTTGGCAAAAACGCGAATCGCTGGAACGTACAGTGGGGCGGCGCGGCGAGGCGGCCATCAGTGCGGGATGACGTCCAACTTGCCCCATCCGCGCTTGCAGGCGAGCAGGCTTGCACCAGGCCGGCCTCGTTCCGGCAGAGGCAGATGGCGCAGATGGCGAAGAGGGGGGGGGGGGACCACTCGCCGCAGCGGTATCAACCTTGCATTAGCATGGCCATGACACCACCTGCAGCAGCTGAGGGGGGGGGCGGGGGGCGGGGGCGGCGGGGGCGGCCAGGGAGGGGGCCGGCCCCTTTGCGCCGCCTCGGCCCCGGGCCCTCCGCCTCGGCCCTTCGGGGGGTAGTGGCCCAGTGACACCCCCACGATTTATGTGCGGCTGAGGCTGGGCAGGGCAGGCGGTACAGTTCTGAGTAAAGTAAGTTCCCCGCTCGCCAAGTCGGGCCGGGACGGCCGGGAGGGAAGACTCTGCAGCATTCTCGGATCTCGGAGCGCTCACTCGTTAACCCACCGGCCTGCCTGGGTCGCTGCCCCGCCCCCCCCCCGCCCCCGCCCCCGCCCCGCGGCTTGCCTTCTCGGCGGCACTGCAGCTGCGGCGGCGCCAGGGCGGCGCTACCCCTCGCCGTGTCTCCAGCCCAGCGCGCGGGGTATGCCCGACGCAAGGCCCTTCTTCGCTTGGCGCTTCGCTCCACCGCTATTAATCCTTCATCGTCTTGTCCAAACAAAAAGGGAGGAAAAAGGGAAAGGACGAATAAAACCGCGCAACCGGCGCGGCCAATAGGTTTGCTGAGCAAACACCGCGCCAGACTCCGCGGCGCCGCCGTCCCTCTCGCACTCACGGGGCGTCCCGAGCGGCTGAGAGAGAGACGAAACGACGAGGCACTGTTCGTCATCAGACTATGCCGCCGACCTAGACCTCCGGGCCAGTCGGCACGCAAACTACCTCGCCCTCATCCAATGAGGATCACGTTTTTCCTCATCCTGCTTTATCTTTCTCTGCTCCGAGCCGCGCCCCATCTCTCTCTCTCCCTCCTTCCCGCGCAAGGGAAGCGGCAGAACGCTTTTATTTGCAGATGGATGCGTGTGGAGGAGCACTGTGGAGGCCTGGAGGCGCGGGCATAACAAGCCCGCGAGCTGCGCAGCCCCGCCGTTTCCAAGCGGGAGGTCCCGTCGCGTCCCCCCGGACCGCCTGTCTCTCTCGCACCCGCACGGGGCGCCCCAAGAGTGTGGGAGAGAGACCCCCGCTCGGAATCAGTCCGCAGGGCGAGGCAAGGGCCGCCATTAGAACGGGCTGGGGGCGGCTGGGGGCGGCTGGGGGCGGCTGGGGGGCGAGGGGTCGGGGGCAGACCTGGGCATCCATCACCCGGGGAAGGGGAGAGGCGGCACCGGGGGGATCCTCACGCTCGTGTCGAGATTTGTGCCGAGCCAGACTGTCGCTATGAAAAACAAAATGAGAGGTACGGAGAACGGACGGCGCATCTGGCGGGTGCATGCGGCCGAGCGGGCCGAGCGGGCCGAGCGGGCGGTCGGCACTTCATCTTACTGCCCTAGAGCGGGACGTGCACTCCAGAGGCGATAAATAGCACTCTCTCTTTCTCTCTCCCCCCCCCCTCCTCTTTCTCCCTCTCACACACATGCACACATTCGTTCTCCGTTTGTGTTTTTCCCCTGCAGTAATTCGCCGCGGCCGGGCAAATATACGGACGGAGGCATATCTAATATCGACTGACTCAAAGCGGCGGGCCAGGACGCCCGGGCCGCGGGAAAGACAGGCGAGAGAGGTGGAGAAAGAGCGAGAGGCAACGGGAGAGGAAGAGAGAGAGAGAGCAAGAGAGAAAAGACGCGAGGAATTTGCGGCGCCAAAATTCACGCAGCAAGCTGTGGGGGAGGCATGTATATTGCAGCGGGCATGCGTAGGCATGGTGGTGGCGGCAGCGCGGCAGCAGCGGTGGTGGTGGTGCGAGAGACAGAGTCATGCGATCGCGGCCGCACCTTTCAGCTCACACGCCGGCTCAGAGAGAGAGAGAGAGAGAGAGAGAGAGAGAGAGAGAGAGAGAGAGAGAGAGAGAGAGAGAGAGAGAGAGAGAGAGAGAGAGAGAGAGAGAGAGAGACGGGGGAAGGAATTGAAGGGGGTGCGGGCGGGGGGTCGGTTGTGCTGCCCAACTGAGTCCGCAACGAGTGGCGAAATTGTGGCGAATTAAGCCCCGTGCCGGCCGCGGGGCGCCGCGGGGCCGCGCCATTGGAGGCTGGAGGCCCTGGGCCCCAGGCTGACTGGGCCCGACCACACTCCCCTGTTCTCCTCTCTATCTCTGTCTCTCTCCAGCGGCAGACCAAGCCTGGGCAAGCCTGGGCAAGCCGACGCAGCCCGCCGCGGGGCCGTGGCCGAGGCCGTGGCAGCGGCCGGCGTGTAAGCCGATTACCCGAGGTGTAGAGGCCCGGCACTCCGGCGCCGTGCCGGCACCACGGCGCCGAGCAGCTTCACCAGTGGGCCCCACTGGGGGCGGCGGGGCCGGCGGGGCAGGCTGGTGCCGCAGTGACCGCCTCGCCGCCTCAATCGCCGTGTCCAGGACCGGCAGCCTGACGCCCAAGGAGCGTTCCGCCGCTCTCTCCCTGTCGCTACACTGTAGCGGGGGAGCGAGGGAGACAGACGACGAAACGCTCCTTCGGGATGGGGCTGCCCGGGGCTGCCCCGGGCGGACCGAGCGACCGACCGGCGCGCTGACCGGACCGCAGGGCAGGCGGCCAAGGCGACCAAGGTGACCGCACGGTTGGTTCACCTGACGGCCTGACGCCGCCTGGTGCCCATCCGAGCCCCGGGCAAGGCAGCCAGCGCGACGACTGCGCCAAAAACGGCAAAAAAAAAAAATTCAAAAGCGCGCCAAAAATCACTTGCATGCGACAGGAGAGCCGCACCAGCAGCAAGGACACACACAAACACGCACGCACACACACATACACGTGCTCTAAGTGCCGCCACAGAGGGGTGGGCCGCCGGGACGCAGCGTAACGCAGCGGGCCCCACCCCGCCTCCGCGCCGCTCCGCGCCGCGCCCTGCCAACCCCTTAACCACTCCGCCTGTACCGATGTGAGAATTGCTTACATTAGCAAGGGCCGCACACCGCATCGTCTACATGGCTCCGGTCAGGCGGGGGGTTCCCACTCACCCACTCACTCACACACTCACAAAAGCCCCCCCCCCCCCAACTCTCACACACAGCCGCGGGGACAAAAACCACGAGGTCCATTAGGCCGGACAAATTATTTAAGTAAGGCAGCACGAAAGGAGTGGGGGGAGGCTGCAGCCCGGCTGGCTCCGGTTCCCTGCCGCCCTGACGAGCCCGTCGGCCCGTCCGGCCCGTCCGAGCGCATGGGGGCGGTCGAGGCGCGTCTTCCTCGTCCTCGCGCCCCCTGCGCAAACTGAAACTGAAAATGGGAACGGCGGAGGGGGGGGGACGCTCAACGACACGAGGCAAAGGAACGGTTCGCCAGTCGATCCATTCGGACCGCGGCAAAGCCATTCGCCGGAGCCGCGCGGAGCCCTCTCAGGCAGTGGCGGGGCTGGCGGGGCTGGCGGGGCCCTCAGCGCCAAACGTCCAAAGGCAGGGCTCGCCGAGGGCCCCGCGAAGGGCCCCGCGAAGGGCCCCGCGCGGCCGCCGCGACGCCCTAAAAACAAAAGGGCCATTCCGGAACGGGGACGCCAAGGGCGGCCAGGGGCGGCCAAGGGAGGGGGGGGGGGTACACGTCGGCCTTTGTTTGTCGGGGCCCACGGCTTTGGTGGCAAATGCCTATTGCCCCATTCCGGCCCAAGTTGTCGTATAAGATGAAACTTTGCGGCCGAAAGAGGCGGCTGGTCGGGCCGGGCCCGCGGCCGGGCCGCCAGGACTACTGGGACTACTGGCACTGCCGGCACTGCCCCGAGGAGAGGCTGGATAGGACTCATAACTGTGCGGAACGCGGCGAACGCGGCCGCGAGTGTGCACGGGGAGGGAGGGGAGGGGAGGGGGAGGGGGCCGCGCGTTCCACACACATCAAACGGCCGAAAAGGGAAAACACTCACGGTTCCATTTAGAGCAATCCCAGTTCAAAAGGAACAGGCGCGCAGAGCTGCGCGGCGCTACGCGCGGAGCGAGGGGGCGGGGGGCTAAAACTGACAATGCAAAATGTGGGGGAGATATTTTGCGGCGCGGGACGGCCGCCAGCGCTCGCAGGGATGCCAGCGCAACCGTGGTGTAGCGGCAGGGACGGCGGGGAGGATTCCGAGTGGAGATTTAGGGAGAGGCTCTCGGCCGGCTTAGAAAAAAAGAGGAGAAAGGAGGAAAGGAAGAAAGAGAGGAAAACGAGAGAAAAAGGGAAAGGACGGCTCGCCATTGGCTTTGGAAAATATCCAAAGACGATCAAACCGGCAAATTTATCCCCGGGTCGGCAGAGCGACCAGACGGCGCGTTCCCAGCCTCCCCCTGGAACATGTGATTGGGCCTCCACTGCCCGGCAGCCCGCGCCGACCGCCCGGCCAGCCCTCTTGTAGTACCCTACTGCACTTTGTTTTCTGCCCAGCTCGCCACACTCCCTGAAACTATTCCACTCGCACTGCGCCACGCTCGCTGCGCGCCACATTACAAGCAAGCAGCGACAAATGTTGCCACCGTTCCGGCGCCAAGCGCCCAACGCCAAACGCGACACAGAAAAAGTCGCGCTCCACGTGACACCGGCAGCGCGACTCCCACCACGCCCCGCCCCGCCCCTCTCCGGCCGTGCGTCGACTGCGTTCCGCGTCGGCCTCTCGCTCTCGGTCGCACGAGGCGAGGCAGCACGTCCCGATCTAATGCCCCGTAAGTCGGACGCGTAAATCAATTTGATCTCGTGAGGCCCGGCCCTGCCGCGCCCTGGTGCGCCCTGCCAAATGATGCTGGCCTTCCCCTCCCCTCCCGTGGAGGGCAGGGCACTGCGGGGCACGAGTGGGAGGGAGAGGGAGCGGGATTAGGATTAGGCATGGCGATGGACCGGGGGAAAAGGGGGAGGGGGGGAGCGGAAGGGCAGCGAGGGGACCGAGGACCCGCCAGGACCCGCCAGGACCCACGAGGACCCACCTGAAGACTGGGATGGCAGCCCAGCGCCAGCAGGTTCTTGACCACGCTCAGGTGGCCCTTGTTGACGGAGATGTGCAGGGCGGTCTGGCGCCGCTTGTTGCGTGCGTTCAGGTCGGCGCCCGCCTGCGCCAGCAGCTCCATCACCACCGGCTCGTCTCCGAAGGCGGCGTGGTGCACGGCCCGGTCGCCGTCGTTGTCCTGCCAAATTAACATTGGAGGACCGAGTTAATAACATTTTGAAATTGTACCCTGGGCTCTGATTTAAATTTGAGGCACAATTTCAATTTTAGTCCAGTTAGCAACAGATTACTACCTATCTTTTCAGACAGATATGAGTGTCTGACAGTGTTTTAGTTAGCATATTCAAGTCCACTCAAATACAAACCTCAATTTCCACATCAGCTTTGTGGAAAAGCAAAATTTTGATAACTTCAAGATGTCCGTTTTGGCTAGCTGCTTGGAGGGCTGTGTGACCCGCAAAAACTCCATTCACATCCAGGTCAGAATGTTTCAGGGTCTCCTCAACTTTCTGAACATCACCAGCTGCAGCAGCTTTCACTAGTTCTTCTGTCACATCACCAGTGCCCTGAGTTTTATAGAGTTTCTTAAGTAGCTCACTCAGACGCTCTGAAAGCAACAAAAAGTTTCATCTTCAGTAGAGTCCAATATTATGCCCCCTCCAATTACAGTTGAACTTCTTTCAATGACACACCTCCATTTGAACCATCTGCTGATGCCATTTTAGTGACAGCAATAGGGTTGTATGTCCAGGAAGTGCCACAAACTTCAACTTTCAAGTCATTGTCATGATATATTTGCTGCACTCGCCCAACTTTGCCAAGAGTCTGAAACAGTCAATTGTCATCATTAAATTGTCATAAAATCACAATCAAAATAAGAAATAATGTTAAAAATCAGTTCAGTCAGAGTTTCTCACAGGAGCCATTGCCTCAGCCCATTCCCCATGTCCTCGCTGAAGTATTTTGATGCGTTCCAAATCCTGGCAAATTTGAACTAAATCTCCAACAGCAAACTGAGATTGTTGTTCTCCAGATGCTGCAAGAACTGGAGTTGGCACTTTGGTAAGAACAGCAGGATTCAGGGTCCACCTTAAAACAGACAGCAAAACTCCCCCAAGTCAAAATCCAGAATTCAGACAAAACAGCTGTCAAGTAAATTTATTGCACCTACCTGTTGCCACTTGGATATGACACAACAACATCATGATCTTCATCAATATCTACAACAAAACCAGTGGCACCAAGGCATTCTAGCATGCCATCCATCCAGCCACCATGACCGTGTTGCAGAGACTGGACAATTTCCATATCAAGATCAACAGTAACCTGAGGAAAAATTCAGCATGTCAACCAGTGATTTTAAGATTAGAATATCTGGAATATGTCTAACATTTGAGTGAAATATTACCTGATCACCAACTTGCAAACCGTGAGGTCCAGAGCGGCCCGGGCCCTGCTCACCAAGAAGCGGAAGATGATCGCGATACACTCCTTGTCCTTTGGCATCATTTACAACTTTCAGATCAGCCTACAAAGCATAGTGAAAGATAATTTCACATGTGACAAAGGAACCGGGAAACAAATAGAATGTTTTATATTAACAATACGAACCATTCCTTCAAAGCCAACTCGGTACAAATTTTTTGCCCCATTGTCCCAAATTATGTAAGCAGCTGATCTGGGACTGGCTGCAGACCAATCCTGAATTTCATTCACTTTTCCACGCCGTCCATTTCCACCATCTTGGTCCTCCCACTGCCAATCTACACCACGCACTACTCGAGCTCCTGGGAATATTCCTCGAACAGCAACTTTTTTGCTCTTGCGCCGAGGTTCAAGAAGTACCCTACAAGGAGAAAAAAATCAATAAATATTAGTCATTTTAAAAAGATTATGTGGGATTTACCTCACAACAATTAGATAACAAGGAACACAAGTTTCAGTACCTATCACAGCCTGGTGTAGTTATGCGATAGAAACGATGGCGTAAATGATGTTTGTCTCCATGATAGCAGATTGAACATAAGTCATAGTTTCCACACTCTGCACATTTCCATCGTATGCCAAAAATAGGTTGTTGGCGACATGTGTCACACATGGTACCATCATGTTTCACACCTTAAAAAATTTAGATACATTTAGAATAAACATTTGCACCTTTAATAAAATGCAAAGGATATTAACTTTGAATAAGCAACAATCTGTAAATCATCTATGGGAGAGTAAAAGGCAAACAACTTACCTGTGGGAGCACTGTCTAAAATACGAAGATCATATGCCCCAGAGCAGCGATAATTGGCAGCAGTTCCATTGTCCCAGACAACCACCACTTCTTCGGGAGACTCAAAGTTGCGAACTGTTCCCACATGCCCTTCTCCGCCATCCTGATCGAAGGTAAACAAATACAATGAGGTTAAAAATAAAGTGGACGTGTTTGAGTGGAGAAGTACAAATTTAGATTGGAAATAAGAAAAGGGAAGAACATTCATTAAAACTTGATATGAATTGATATATTCATGAAACAGGTATGTACCAGGGGAATATCAACAGGCTGAAGAAATTTTCAATGGTAGTTTACAGATTCCTACTCATACATGCGAGCCATAACCTCGACATATTAAGGAAATTAGACGGCTCAACCGTCGTACGAATTCGAAAAGAAACACTGGAGACGGAAGACAGTTCACACACAGAAATGTCTAAAACTGTCACAAATAATTAATAGTAATTCACCAACCTGCTTTCCCCATTTCCAATCAGGCCCACGTATAACACGGGACCCCACACCTTCCATCATAAACCGGGTAGTTCTGTTCCCAGCCCCAACCTCCATACTTCCACAACTAACGCAGGCCACTCATTTAGACAAATTTTTAAAATTTTTCTTTACAATACTATTATGATGTAGTACATAACCAAAACATTGCACTTTTTTCTTTCTTCTTCTCAGTATTCATCCGGTATGAGAAATTAGGTACTGTTTGGTCTCTAGTCTCGTAGCAGGGTTGCAGAGGATCCAAGAATTCCCTCCCCTTTTCCTGCAAGTTTAAGCCTTACAACAGGCCATTCTTCCAATTTTCGTTGGATTCAAATGATCCAAGGCTACAACCATAGTGTTGTAGTAGAACGTTTCAGAGATTAAAATCCAGAGACGCGGTACATGAAAGTGGAAAAGTAGTCACCGGTCGTCCGCGCCCCCACCCCACCCCACCCCACCCCACCAGTGCTGCAAGGGGTAGCGACGGTCTCTCTAGCAAGGGGTAGGTGCAACAAACGCGTGTTACGTTCTTGGAACACTTGTAGAATTCAAAATGTGTGGGTAAGGATTACGGAAGCCATCTGATTTGGCCCAGTGATAACAAGTCTTACAGTATATAAAGATTTATTGAATCAGAGTCTTTGACAGGATTTTAAAGAAAGGATGACCAAAGCTTAAAAATGTATAAAGAGTTACAATAGAAAGAAGTAAATTTGCTATTGTATTTTTAAACATTGACACATAGGACTTATTGCAGCATCTAAAATTTAACTAATAACATATAAATAACATACCCATCAAAGCACACACCTACATCGACAAATTATGTCAAAGGAAACACTTCATAAATGTTGTAACAAAGTGAGCAAACATGGAAGAATCAGTCATTAAAACAGCCCTTACATAGTATGTACATAGAGCAAGCATTCAATCCGCACACTTAATTTAAATTCTCATTGCAGTAGCCTACAAAACTAACTACATAGTACAGTAAAAGATCCAGCAATAATAGAGGCCATGATTAGTGCTTGTATATCATTGAAAGGACACAAGCAAACTGAAATTTTCATTCATTGTACATAGGTGTTCAAGATATTTAAGGCACCAACATGAAAAAGAAATCTGTCAAAAGACACCAAACAACACAATGACTGAAAAGGGATATGAATTTTTAAGAACTGCAAATAACTTACCTACAACAACAGTAGGCTTCTGGGACACTGTGCTGTAGAAAGTGCAATTCTGTGAATAGCACATAACAATGAAACAGTCCTAGAGTTTGACCAATCACACTTGAGATGCGTTAACAATTGACAAATAGAAATTTGAATAGAAAAAACTGATAAGCGAGATTGATATGACAGATCACTGATTTTTAAAAAGAAAACAATGATTCAACTCAAAACAGAAAGCTCAAGAAAAAATTTGAGCATTCTGTATCAAGAGTAGCCTAATAATACCCTCACATGGTCCACTGTCTCATCAATTCCAAAGTTTCAATTATTTTAAATTGTACTATCCAAATATTATTTAAAACCTCAACAGTCTTTGACTACTACAGAAACAAATTAAAACAAAACCTGACCTATCCAAAACCACCACAGATAATGAACACATTTGTTCTTTGAGTATAGTGATACAGAAACAATATTTTTCTGATAAATGACAAAATGAAGAAACTTCAGGGAGTGGATTCTGCTTGAGAAATTTCTGCACCAAAGGTACGTTTGATTATGCCTGCAACCAATAGGGAGTACCTACTGTAACAATATTCTGGCCAATGCAATGAGTACACATGATAACATGCAACAGAACTATAAATGTGGCATTTAAATAAAGGAAATCCTGCAAGAAGTCTAACAAAAAATAGAGTAAGAGCAAAGAAGGCAACTGAATTTATGAGAAGCTAGAAATAAAATATTCACTGATCAAATAAAGATACAGCACTCAAGTTCCTTGATTCCTCAAAGACATTCTACACAGTGCTTGAGTGTCTCAAAAGGCTGAAAAACAGCAAAACAAACATAATACCATGTCAAAAATTGACAGACTCATTCTACTTCAGAAGAAAAATCAGTTCCACACCTCAATACTAATTATTACAAACATTATTACTATACACTGCATGGTCTTCTGAGGTGTCAATTTTTACAATGATAATTCAAAACAAAAGAAGACAAACAAGACAAGAATCAAGTAAATAAAAGGCCAAAACTGAGTTCTAGAGTAGAGTTCAGGTTAGTTCTGAAGCAAGACACCAAGGACAGCAAAGAAAACCAATGCATTTGTGCTTGTGATCAAATAGTATAGATTGTTCTCCATACCAGAATGCAATTTTTTTTTTAAAAATCTACATTCATAAAGAATGGTGTGCAAATAAATAAAAGAAAGGTCACAAAAATAGCTTTGTATTGAAATGAACTGAATGCTACACAATGGCAAATGTTATAAAAAATCAAATAAAGCAAATAAAACTAGCCTTGACCCAACTCTGTCTTTCCAAATTAAAAAGGGCGGGCTAAAAACGGTGGTATAACGTTAATGGGTTTTTCCGACACCTGACTGCAATGCAACATTTCTGATGCATAAGAACATGAAATATTTATATTTTTAATTATTTATACATACACATACAGGTGTATACTGAATACTGTGCAAACACAGAATAGATCAGATGTAAACTGTCTTCCTTACTTGTGCTTCACAATAAATAACAGAATATTAAGGCACTAATTCCGTGTGATCTTATATACAGTAGTGAATCATTAATATATTAATATTTTGTATTATACTACACATAAAATAAATGCTTTGTAGCTGTTTATGAAAAATACATAACATGCAAGAAAGTCAACTATCTGCTTTGGATAATAGTGTTGCAATAGCATGTGATTGCAACCATTGGACTCTTTTCCACACAAAATCGTTTAAAAAGCGTACTTGGATAACACTCCACAAATGAGAACAGACTCCACAGAAGGTAAGAAGTACTAATTATTCCTATCTTGGGCAAATACAAGAGTGGAAAATTAACTTTTCTGGGCATTTTTTTGGCAAAATCGCCTGGTCATTTGACATGATGATGACTTCAGCAGCATATTATATTACTTGTTGTCATCGTGTTCGGAGATGTTGTAGAACTTCGCCTGTGAACAGAGGAAAAGATGATAATTAAAATGTATTTTCTCTCTGAAACTTTTTTTTTTCTAACTACACTTAGAGCACAACAAGGCATTGAAATATTAATATTAGGAACTCAGGCACTCTTTCAAGATAGGGTTTAGGCACTGTCAAAAGGCAAACTACACCTTCTTTTTCAAAACATAGCAAAAACATGCATAGCTCAACAAAATGACCTACAAAGAACAGGCTAAGATAAATGTTCGGTGTGGCACAAAACATATTTTCAAATATTGTGATTTCTACTTTTCATAAATTTTTTTCAGACCACACAGTGAGAGCATCTAACTTCAAGTGCAATTAATTTTGAAAAAACTCTCAAAATAGATTTTTCTGTTAGAAAATTACACACCATAACATCCTACAAAACTTACATAAGCGCCTTCAAAGAGGATCCATACTAGGATGCACACACACAAAAAATAAAAACTTGGATAAGTTGGTTATATGTTTAAAGATATAAAAACTATCCCCATTGAAAGACACACCCAAACAAAGGATAGAGGGAAAAGAAGTTTCTTTGAACCAGTGTTACTTGTTAAAATGAGTTCTTTCAACATTTTCCCAATCACAACAGCAAATCGCAATCAAAAACCTACGTAACTACGTGAGAGTAGTCTGCTGTTCTCGGCTTTGAGCAGCCACTCTTTCCTCCTCCTCACTGTCCCAAGACACAAAATGCTGCAGAGCAATGAGAAAAGATTGATCGGCAAAGCAAAGGAATTTCAACTAAAGAAAGACAATTCCCAGAAATGCAGACAAAGTTTGACCAATAAAAACCTTAGCAACTCTCATTAAACATCAACAATGGGTACCATGAGGGGGCAAAGACAGAAAAGGAAATAAAAAGCACGTCCATTACCTCATCATGAGTTTCTTGTTGAGAGCGGTTTGTATCTTCATCATCATCAGAGTCATCCTCTCCAGAAGAATCTAAATGATACAGAAAATATGAAAATTAACAGAAGAAAACAACGAAAATTATTGATAAAGTTTACTTTAAGTCACAACAAACTCACCTTTGCTGAATGAATTTTCTCCACTGTTTGAGCTGAGAACTTTAGCTCGAGTCAGACTATCATAGCAAGTAAGGCACACACGCAATGGTTTTGAAGACTGGTGGGGCAAGAGGTAGCGCTTATTTGAGCATGGACTGCAGACAACAGCACCACACTTCCGACAATGGTGCTGAAGAGGTAAAACATAATGACATTGATAACAAATCAATTCTAAATACTGTAAACATTGAATGTCAAATTGATACCAGTAACTCACCCTTCTATTCAGAACAGTAAACTGACACTTCTTGCAGTGCATGCAGATGGAAGCTTCAGAGTCTGGAACCCAAACGGCTGCATGCTCCTCTACAGCTTTCTTGCCACCTGATAAAACAGATAATAATGATAATATTATTATTTAAAACTATTCAATTCCAAGTAACAAATAACCACAAGAAATGACAGATTGATTAATTACTCTTTCGTAAAAGATCTTCAATGCACTTATTAATGTGAGCCATCCATTCTTGCTTTTCTGTGTTGGTGGCAGCATAGACCGCAAATGACTTTGTTGCAGTGCGGATCACCCATCCATTCCTGAAGTCTGTGGAATGAAACATGAACATTATAATAATGTGAAGAGGAATGATTGAAGTTAAAAGTGGTCCACATACAAAACTGGTTGTAAGATGATGACATATACTTACGTCCATCATCTTCCAGAGATTCTAGTTTCACAGCTTCCAAGGGTATTATGTGCTGCTTGTTATACTGTAAATTATGGTTAAAATATAGAATTAATCATGAAATATGTTAAGGTCTCATTCATAAAAAAAAATTCACACAAATATTTTGTGTTTGATCACCTTTTTTCTATTCATGAGAATATTTCCATACACAAGGATGTCATTGAAGAGGAAAAACTGACGAGCCTTGGCTCTCTTGCGGCACATTTTGGTGAGAACACCCTCCCCTACAAGGACTCGGCCAGGCACAGCTAATGGCTGAGCAGAAGATAAGGAATCAAAGGCATGGTTAGTGACCACACAAGACTAAAGTCACCCTGTAAAATTGAAAATTTCACACACCTGTCCGGAGCTGCCGAAGCAGCTCTCCACCAATTGAATTCGCCTGGCATTGGCCTCACTATTTACTGCAAAAGAAAGGAAAGTCATCTTTTACAAACAGCAAGGACTTGACAGGAGAAGTGCAAGGAGCACTAACAAAGGAGTGATAGGGATATGTCTTGTCTAGAGAGAGACTAGAGAAAGGCCTCCTATGCCAAACAGATGTCATGTCATTGTTAATTTAATCACTTATAACAAAACCAAATACAAAAGAAAGGCATTTATTATCAAGGGCATCTCAGACTCAACACAGGTTAACCAAGTATTTGGTAAGCAAGTGCTATTGTTAAGGAAAACAGAAAACATTATTTCAACTGACAAGATTTAACTAGCTCAGAGTTGACATTACACCAAAGAACTAGAATCAATGTTGAACTAGAAAGTGGGAAATGGAAAAGAGAAAACGTTACTCACCAAGTCTATCCACCATGTTAGAGGATGTAAAAGTCACAGGGAATGAGTCATATTTAGCCTTTGAAAAAGAGAAATATAACTGCTGGACCCGACAGTAACTCTAAATGTCACTGCAAGGCCAGTAAAACAATCCGCTTGGAAATGAAATATCCGTACACAGAAACAGTCACAAGGAAAGTTTCGCCGTCAGAAAAAAAGTGTTCTAGTGAGTAAGACGTACAAACGGTACTGGTCAGATTTTTGACAGCAGGAAATGTACAGTCACGGAACATACAGAAATTAAAAGATGTTTGCACCGAATTCACATTAACAGGCTTGTTCTTATTTACTTTGACGAAGTTTAAACGCCTTTGGATACAATCATCACCCCTATTCATAGAAATTTTGTACTAACAGGGTCTTCAGGAAAATACCCTTTGTAAACAAACAAAAGCGTAACGATGCACGAAAAGGGAGGGTTTTCTGCAAATTCAACCCTGGAATGATGGAATAGTCGCCAGAAGTATTCATTCCTTCATACTGTTATTTCGCCAAACCAAAAATGCCGAGAAGAAAAAGCAAAGACAAGGACATGATTCAGCCGTCAGATACGAACATGGTTTGTGTTGTTCCTAAACAGAACGTGGAAAGTAAGTGTTCCTAACCTGCCATGTGTAGGCCGATCATCAAATGAAGTAAATGTTAACTTAAATAAAATAATAATTTACCTCTAACTGTCACTTTGCTGTATTGTATATTTTCGCTTGAGTTTCCCTTTCTCGCTTTCATTCATTATGTTTTGTTGCCATCAGGGATTCATTTAACTGTTATATTCTTTGTTTCAGTTCTTGGAAGAGCGTTACATGCCCTTGCCCGCATTGGAGATGAGCTCTATTTAGAACCCATGAATGGAGGACTTACATTTCGAACGGTGCATTCAAACCACTCAGTGTATGCTGAGGTTCATTTTACTAATCAGTTCTTTTCATATTACAATTGCCCTGTGCAAATCAGAAATCAAACTGATGTTGATGACGACACTGATGCTTTGAAATGCAGAATTAACATGAAGGTCCAATCTGAAATTTTATCAAGAAATCCGTTTCTGAAAGTTAGACATGACATAAGTTCATATTTTAATCTCTCTTTTTGTCATTCAATTTTAGGCCTATTTGTCAGCATTTCGTTCCCTACCTTGTGTTCGGAAACAAGTAGAAACCTGCCTACTACAAATAGAGCCCACATGGCTTATGATCAAATTCCGCTGTCACCATGGTCTTATTCGAACTTACAGATTACCTGTTATTGAAACTGAAACATTGCAGGTTTGTGTTTCAAATTGCTGCTCTTCTAGAATTGCCACTGTATAATTACTGCCTTAAATATCAATTCCAGGCACTGTATACTGTCGATGAAGTACCAAATCATTTAGTGATAGGTGCAGATGTATTTGCAACAGCAGTGAAGAACTTCCAGTTATCAGAGAGAGACATCACATTGGCTGTGGAAGAGCGTACAGCTGTGTTGAGAAATTATGTTCCTGGAGGCTCTGGTATGAACAAAATTGAAACCTCTTTTACTTTTTTTAATACTACTTTAGATAGATAGATTGATAGATTTATTCACAGCATTTTTTTTGTTACAAAGTGTAGTTAACAGCTGATGCTAACAGCAGAAATTTATTTTGTTACATGCTTTTAACATTTTTTTTTACAGATCCTGGTGGTGTAATAAGGTCTGAGCTGAAATTAGATTCTGGTGAATTCATCTCATTCACTGTTAGACAGCAAACCTCCATCACATTTTGCTTGAAGGCTTTCCGCGCTGTACTTTTCTTTTCGGAGCCATCAAACTTACCTTTAGCAATCAAATTTTCTTCTCCTGGAAAGTAAGTAGATGAAAACATGTATTTTCTCTTAGTGAGTCCTCTACAATTTTTTTCTATGTCTTTCATTTTCTAGCCCTGTTGTGATAATTTGTGACTCATCAACTGTTGAGCTGCGCTTTGTTCTATCAAGTTTGGCACCAGAAGATTGTGATACAAGTCGCTCAGATTCTCAACAGTTACTCACTCCGATAAGATCACTCGAGGGTCGGGAACAACAGATGCAACTAAAGAAAACTACTCGCAGCAAACCACCTTCCACCCTTGATGAGGCGTGGGAAGGATTTGGTAACTGTCACTATTTTCCCCTTTGTTTTCTCTTCTATTCTTCATTGGTACTACTTCATACTATGTTTCATGTTTGCAGACTCACGGTCAGCTACATCCAACAGAGCTAATCCTAAGACAACATCAAAGTCTAGTGTGGAGTCATCCATTCGACCCATCAGAAATGATAATCAGTCAAAAGAACGTCTCATTGCAGCAACTAGCCAACAGAGTACAACGTCTACAACATCAAGTGTCCGTGCAGTTGTTGGAACTACAACAACTTCCACTTTATCCAGGCAAAACCAATCAATCAATACATCTGAGTCTTTCAGAACAGAGGATGATGCTGACCGGAACAATCTGGTTATTCCTGAATCTGATAATGAAGAAGAAGAAGATGAAGACGATGAAGAGCTTGTCCCTGCATCGCCACCACCACCTAAAAAGGCTCGCCTGCTTTTCCAGCGATGCTATGAACCTACTCTACACACAGAAGATTTTGAAGGTGGTATAGTATATGTTCCGGATTCAGATGAGGAGGACTAAGTTTATTGTAATCATGTACATAAGACATTAACAAAATGTACAAAACTGTGTATTTTATTTATTTTTTTAATAAAATAAAGGCTTAACATTTTTATGGCTTATGGTGTGCATTGCGTGCCTTGCGGGACGCACTTGCCCGTCTTCCCTGATTTTGGCTTGCAGAAGGTTGTGTAGGGTTGACAGTCTGAAACAAATTTAGTTGATTTTGAACAATGGGCCCGAGCACTGTTTGCAGATTGGAAGTGGTAGAAGTGCACCGATATTACCTTCCTCACTGCAGCTTTTTTCATCATATCCATTTCCACAGTCATCTTTTCCATCACACCAGCGCTTGGCCAAAACACATCGTCCATTGCCGCAGAATCGTGTCAGTGGTTTACAATCTAAGATTTTGAAATCAAATCAATTATTGTCCACAGTAGTCAAATAATTCGTGGAGGTTTTCAGGCTTCATCCTCACCTTCCGGCGTGCAGTTCTCCTCGTCTGAGTTGTTGTCGCAGTTCTTGTTGCCGTCGCAGCGGTCCTGGCTCCACGTGCAGCGCATGCTGTCGCCACCACAGTGGAAGGCGCCACCGCGGCAGTCTGAGACAGCAGTACGTTTTCAGGAGATTTGACAACGAAGGTGTTGCCCAGCCTTGTGTCACGCTGACTCACCACTCTTGGCGCAGTTCGCCTCGTCGGCCCCGTTGCGGCAGTCCTTCCAGTGGTTGCACCTCTTGTCCATCGCGACGCAGCCGCCATCCCCGCAGCTGAACTGGCCCTTGGGGCAGGTGGCTGAATTCGGGCAAACGAGACAGTGGTGTCAATGGGGCTCTTTTGCCGACAATGGCCTCTCCATTAAGTCAGAGTCTCACTCGTGGTCGCGGTCGCGGCTCCTGGCTTGGCGCCCTTGGTCTTGGCGGCGGCGGCCCCGCAGCTCTTCTCGTCGGCGCCGTTGCCGCAGTGGTCCGTGCCGTCGCACTTCTTCTCGATCTTGACGCAGCGCCCGTTGCCGCAGGGGAACGTGTAGGACTGGCACTCTACGCAGACAGGGCGAGAGTCCCTTACGCCGATGGCATCGTGGGGGAAGTCCCATCAGACTGATTTGGAGAGTCGCTCTGTCCCTCTCGCACCTTTACGGGGCGCCCCACGAGTGCGAGAGAGACAGAGCGAAGCCACCCGAAAGCCTACCTTCCGGCTTGCACTGCGTCTCGTCGTTTCCGTTTCCGCAGTCGTCCTTGCCGTCGCACTTCCGGTTCTTGCGGACGCACTTGCCGTTGCCGCAGTAGAAGGCGCCGAGGCCACATTCTGAAACGAAGCAAATGACACATTTTATTGAAAAAGAGCGAAAGGGGGTTGGATTCGGTATTTGAACCACCGCACCGACGAGGCTTTACCATTCGGTTTGCAGTCTTTTTCGTCGGCGCCGTTGCCGCAGTCGTCGACGCCTTCGCAGCGGTGGATCAGCTTCCTCACGCATTTTCCATTGCCGCAGCTGAAGGTGCCGGTTTTGCAGTCTGGAGGAACGCAATGTGAAAAGGTTCTCTCAGAATTATTTCTATTTAAAGTATAACTAAGCGGACAACGAGCGCTAACCTTCCGGCTTGCAGTCCATCTCATCCTTCTTGTTCTTGCAGTCGGTCCAGAAGTCGCACTTCTTCTCCATGGGGATGCATCCTCCGTCGCCACAGTCGAACGTTCCGGCCGGGCAGGCTGAATCAAACATCCGTTTTGTTTTGATCGTTTCCTTCACACTCTGCTCGGACGCAGAACTGGCAGCTGCCACTCACCGATCTTCCCCGCCTGCTCGGACAGCTGCACGGTGGACAGCACGACCAGAGCGGCGCCCAGGGCGATCCTGGAGTACCCCGTCATCGTCGTGGTCTCGGTGCTTCGTTTGACGCGCTCCCTGTGGTTGGCCGTGAGCGCTGCGCGTCCCGCCGGTCCAAACTCGACTGGCGAGGTTGGAGGGATTGGAGCCGCACGATGCTTGGCGGAGCTAGATTCGCGTCGACCCTGGCCTGCCTTGGCCGACGGAGCGCGTCTTCAAAACAAGCTGGCGGGTCATCAGTCATCGGCGAGGTCGAGAGGTCGGCCAGCCGTGTGAGGCAGAAGAGCGCTCTGTCTCTCTCGCACTGTCGCGCAGAGCTCCTTGGGCGCGACAGAGAGAGCGCGACGAAGTGACCCTTCGGAGTCGCTCGCCCTGTCGGCCCGACTTCTCGGTAGAACGCAGCAGTTTGCCGGCGCATCCCTTTAACTAACTGGCGCGATGCCATTTCCGCGAATTCGATAAAGATTAAGATTAGTGGTAACGGAAATGCGCAAGCTCTTGTTCGCGCTGCGCGGTGCGCGCGGCTCGGGCTGTCGGTCGGAGAGCGCCGTGGAGGTAGGCCGCCCATCCAGCAGCGCCGCGGCGATACCCCGTGCCGCCGCGCCGCGCAGCCGGCAGATGGCGCTGCGGGCCTTCCCCGCGGTAAGCGTGCGGAGAGAGAGAGAGACGGGGACGCGGTGTGGGAGTGAGCGAGGTGACGCGAGTGCCGAGGGCCTCATTGACACCGGGAAACCCAATCCGCCTCGGAGATTTGCCTCGCATGATTCGGATCTGCAATCACCTCACTTCCGGACGGCACGCGCGCTGCGCGTCGCGCGATGCTCGTTGCGCCGCGTCGAGTGTAGAGAAACTCAGAGACGCGTCTCCGGTATTCCCGCGTCTCTCCCAGTCTTCCCTGGGGAACCGCGCGAGCGCATGTGTGACTGTGTGTCTGTAATCGCCAAGCCCGGGCCGTACCGGTGTAGTGGCCGATGGCTGAGCTGGCCGCGCGGCTTGACCTTCTTGCTGCTCTTGCTGGCCGGCAGAAGCTGGGGGCAGCAACACATTGACGCTCTGTCCCTCGCACGCGTGGGGCGCTCCGTGTGAGCACGAGAGAGACAGTGACGAAAACGACTCTCGAAACCATCCGGCCGCGAGGCTCAGAGGGAAATCCGCTTACGTCGCGCGCGAGGCCGTGCAGGCCGTGCAGCTCACCAAGGCCCAGGTCCCCGCCGGTCGCTGCAACTCCTGTTGCTGGCCGTGCAGGGCGTTTGGGTTCTCGCGGCGACCCCGTTCGGCGTTCTGTTCGGCACTGCCATTGGCGGCTGTCGTATCGACGTCTCGCTCTGGACCAATGGGGAGGCGGAAGGGCCGCGGAGGGCCTCCGCGCCGCTTTTCCTCTTGCATCCGCTCGGCCCGGCTCAGGTTATGTATCTGCATCAGCAGGCCAAGCCACTGTAGGTACGCGCCAGCGCCGCGCCTACGTGCCTGGCCTGTGGTTTCGAAACTTTCTTCCAGTCGGGGGTCGGAAAGAAGCGAATTGTCGTAACACACGTGTGCCGTCATTCCTGCCAGTCATTGCAATTTTTATTTTCTTCTGGAAATCCTAATATTTGTTTCATTGGTTGTCAGCTTCTCTCTTCAATTCTTACAACACCAAACACAGGACAGCCCGAGGCCTTGAGGGATACGCGTCGTCCTCGCGGGGAGGAACAGTTGGTACTGCGCTCCGCATAACATCGCCCGGGGCGAGTAAATATGCCGTGGATGTGTCATTAGCGTGTCGCCAGGTCCCTGGCAGGCAGGCAGCTCGAGGCGGGAAGGACCTCATCGGCACTCCATCATTACCAACCCTTCATAACGCGTATTGGGTAAACACGACGCCAGGTTAATCACCGGGTTTCACGAACACACTCACAATCATCTCCGGGGTAGTCATGCTCTGAGAAGACCGTGTCACCTCGCAGACTCGCGGAAGCATGCTTTTTACACTCCTTGAAGGTGCGAACATGCCTGCCTAACCTAACCTGACCAGATTGGGTTCAGGACAGGCCTCACGGCGGCGAGCACGGCGAGGCGGTGCTGACGGGGCCACGGGGTCGCGCACGCCGCCGCCCTCTCCCGCCCCCGCCACCCCACTGCCCCCCAAAGCAACAAGTTCCAGCGACACCGGCGCCGAAGACGGCCCCCTCGGCCCACCCCCGCGGCGCCCAGGGCGCCCAGCCCCGACGCGCGCCGACCAAGACAACCAGCGGGGAATCCATTCATTTTTGCCATTCATCGATGATCGGGCCGAGGAGGCGCGTCGTGCTGTGTTCAGCGACTTTCCGCACTGCGCGCTGCGCTGTTTCGCTCCGCGCGCTCCACATCCACAAGCCACCTCCAATCACAAAACGAGGAAAGGGGAATGTAGGTCCGCGCCCCGGGAAACGAACGCGCCATTTCCGGGCGAGCTGCAAAGCGGAAACGGCGTCCGTAGGCCCGTCCGCCCCAACGGCCCCAACGCTGCAATGTGGGCCGGTACGGGGAGCGCGACGAGGTGGCCGGGACCAGGAGGCGGCAAGGAGGTGTCCAGGACAAGGAGGCGGGTAGCCACGATCACGGGGCGGTAGGGCAGCGCGGAGGCCCGCAGAGGTGGCTCAGTGAGGCAGAGAGGGGCCTCGCGCAACACCACGAAACACCGTGAGCACGCCGCCGACGCCGCCGCGGCCGCGGAGAGGACGAGAGGCTGCAAGGGCTGCGAGCGGGACGGCGGGACTGCGAGCCAGGACCGTCAGGACCTGGAGGGGGTGAAGGCGGAGCCTGCCGCCAGGCCACGCCCCGCCCCCACCCCACCACTCTCCCCACCCGCGGTCGATGGGGGTCGGGGGTCCACGACGCCGAGGCCCGGCGCGGCGCGGCGCGCTGCACGCTGCCGCTGCTGCAGCAGCAGTCAGTCTCGCGGTGGAGGTCGTCAAGTGCGGTCGTGTGTCGTGCAGTCCTGTGTCTGGCTTTCGAGCGCGCGCGTAGCGACATCGTCGTGGCGTGGCGTCGCCCGGTGGTGGTGTTCCAGCCGGTGTGTGTGTGTGTGTATGTGTGTCCTGCAAGCGGAGTACAGTGCAGCGCCACCAAGTGCATGAAGGGCGCGGAGTGACGGACGGCTTTTTCTTCCGGCTTCGCAGTGGACCCCCTCGCCGCCACGATGCACATGGGCGACCCCTCGCTGGCCAGCATGCTGCCCTTCGACTCCATCGGCCAGATCGGCCAGATCGGCCAGATCGGCCTGTACGAACAGCCCAAGCCCCGCTTCATCTTCAAGATGCCCCGCGTCGTGCCCGACCAGAAGGGCAAGTTCGAGCAGGACGAGCTGTTCCGGAGGCTGGGCCGGGAGAGCGACGTGAGTACCCGCCGCCCTCTTGGCGCACGCGGCGCATGCAGTGCTCAGCACCGGTAGTTTTCCGCGTGGGTCCTGTCTGGGTCCTCGCCGGCGCGGCGTCGCGACGCGACTAGCACGTCTCGCTGGACACTACGCGGGCAGACCGGGCAGACGCCGCTGTACAGTAGCGCGGTGCGTCACGGGTAGCCTGTCCGACGGCCTGGCCGAGGGCCTGGCCGAGCCCACGGCGCGTCATGGGCCTGCACCCGACTGGCCGGGACTAGCCGGGACGTCATGGGGCTGACCCCATGTCACCAAAACACAGAGCCCCCGGCACAGCCGAGCCACCCCGCGCGCCGCGATGGCACAGCTACGCCGCTGCCGCTGCACTACTCGGCGCGTTTTGGGAGCGCTCTGGACTGTTCGGCCAAAGTCACGTTCGGAAGGGGGCCTCGCTTGCCTTTGTGGGCGCGACAATGGCTGGGCTGCCCTGGGCGTCCCTCAGCCCTTGAGTCTGCGGGGGGTGGGCCCCGCGCCGCCCCCTTCCCCTGCCGCCCCCCGCCGCCGGCCCCGCCGCCCCGCGCAGCCTTGGCGAGGAATGCCAGAGTCACCATTTCAAACACAATCGCCGTCATCTTCTTCTTCTCCTCCGTGTGAAAGTGCGCGGGGCCTCGCGGCTGGTTTAGGCCCCGGGCCCCTTGTTGCAGTGGACTAGTTTTGGGGATTCACGCCGCGGAGCCGTGATCGCGGTGGAAGGGGGCAGGTGAGGTGTCGCGATGTCTGGCCGGACGGCCCCGCCCCGCCCCGCCCCACCCCACCCCCAGCTGCTGGAAAGTTTGGCCGGCCGTGACTTTGACGGAGCGCCTTGGAGTGGGCAAGCCAAGCCAAGCCGGGCAAGCCAGGTCGGATTGTGAGCAGTGCAAGCATTGTCGTTTCCCGAAGTGCCGATCAGAATGGCGGGGAATGGAAGGGCTGCGCCAGGCTGCGCTTTCACCGCCTGCTTTCCATGTTTGCTCGAGATAAGACGATAACGCGAGTACCTGTGGATTACCTGTGGCTTTTAATCACCTTCAAAGGTGCGTCGTCTCGCTACAGCGCCCACCCCAGGCACCACAGGCCTATCTCGGACATGCATCCTGGATCGCCACACGCGGCCGCCTCGGATGTCGGCGTCGCTGTGACGTCGCGGCGCCCTGCGTTCAGGTCCCTTCGCAGCCGCGGCCACAAAAATGCACCGCTCGACCGGGACTCGAACCCGCAACCCACGGCGGCTGTGGCGTCTTTTGATGCGTTTGATCGGGGTTGCCGATCATCCGTTAGATGGGCGGGCAAGCGGCGGTCGGGCCGCCGGTGTCTCGTTTTTGTCGCGTTTATCTGTGTTTGCGGAGCGAGCCCGACCGGCCCGGCCCCGTCCGTGGCACAGCCGTGGCCGTGGTGGGGCCCACCGTCCACTGCCTCAGTGCCGCTGGTCACGTATGCCAATGCCGCTTCGCCCGCTTCGCCGGCACACGCACCTACTGCCCCAAAACAAAAGAAAACGCTCCCAAATCCGTTGTGTTCACTTCTGTTAGTTTGCCGGAGTGTGTGCTGGAGGTCATGGGGGGTGACACAATGTTTTCGCAGTACAGCGCTCGTCGCCACATGTGGGCCTCGACAGCCCCGCAGCAATTCATCACCCGAGTTGCCCCCTTCTTTTTCGGTAACCCTTTTTTTCTTCCTTGGGAGGGGCGTGGCGCGGCCGTGGCGTGGCGCTGGCAGGGCTGGCGGCCGGCGTGCGCTCTTTCGCCATTACTCGATTTATTCGCGACGGAAGCCTTCGGAAGAAGCTGCAGCGGCCCACGAGGCCCCCGACAAAGTTGGGAAGCGAAAACGAGAACGACGGCATGACGTGTGCGGTGCGGCACACACGGAGCGGCGTGGGCACACTGTGAGCATGCGCGCGTAGTGCGGTACGCTGAATTCAGATAACGGCACCGGCCAAAAGATAGGTTGTCAGCGCATATTCGTTGTTGTAGCGGCAAATATTACCGTTCTAGCCAGCTGAGCAAATAAATCTAGAAAGTTCAATGAATGTCAAACAAAATTGCTCTGGCATGTTTTATTGGTTGCAAAAGATGAAAATTTAATTCCGGTTCAATTTTAACTTCTAAAATGAGTCAAAATTTCGATGGCACGGGACAGGGTGTTCGCGCCAAGGCTGAAGCCGTACGTGTATGCCCTACAGAGCGGGCGGGCTTCTGCTGCAGGTGCATCGTGTCGCCACGGGGGGCGGCTCTTCATTTGGTGGGGCGGTGGGGCCTCACGAGGGGGCCTGATTCACCACCGCGTGTCGAATGGGGCCTCCGAGCGCCTGGCTGTCAACGGGACCTCCAAATGAGGACCTCAAAGCGGGGCCGTGCCGAGCCGTGCCGAGCCGAGCCGAGCCCGGTCCTGCCGCGGCGGAAGGGGCTGCTTGTCACGTGTCCCCGGCTCCGCCCCTCCCCGCCCCCGTGATGAGTCTGATGTGTTTGCCGAGTTGATTACCTGTGTTTTGCCTTAATCGAGTTGGGCCGGCGTCACGAGCGCGCTGCCGGGATGCCTTCCATCCCACGACTCGGTCCAGGCTTAGGCCCCTCCGGCTCCAGGCTCCAGACTCCGGGCTCCAGGCCAGGCCGGCTCCTAACCTCAAACCGCTAGGCGTCGCCGCCAGTGCGCGCTCGCTAGCGTCTAATGGCGTAAAGCGGGGATGCCGACCAAGTGTGTTCCCTTTAGTGCTTCGTGGAACAGCAGTCGCGCGAAATGAGAGCTCGCTTCCTCGGCCGCGTTATGTGCCACGTGCATGCATTTGCAGTATTAGAGACTGTCTTATTCGAATACTGAGCTGGTTGTTTTGTTTGTTGGCAGGTACGTTACACCGGTTACAGAGACAGGCCCACAGAAGAACGGCAAGTCAGATTTCAAACCGGCTGCAGGGAAGGCCACACAGAGGTGGTCAGTATTTTTCTCTTCACCGAGTCTCATTGCATGTGTTAGATTCCCCGTTAACTGGATTGGCTGTGCGCAGGCGTTCGTCGCGACGGGGACCAACATCCAGCTCGTCTTCCACACCGGCACCAACGGCTACACGCACGGCGAGCACGGCCGCGAGTGCGACTTTGAGAAGGAGCACGGCAAGGTGAGTTTGTTGCCGACAGTGTAGTGCGTGCGTGGAGCTCCTCGACGGGATTACACACGGGGCAAGTCAGTCGCGGCGCAGCATTCGCGGCAAAGCGAATATTTATGAGCTCAGGGGAGGGATGATGGACCGGCCTATCGCGCCGATGTCATAATGCAAACAGACGGAGAGACGGACGGACGCGGCGGGGCGACGCGGCGGGGCGACGCGGCGGGGCGTGGGGGGTCGGGCTCTCATTTGCATCCAAGCATGGCCACTGGTCTTGGCCGCGCCGCGTCCGGGCGGCGTCCAGGCGGCGGGAAGCCAAGCCCGTTTAGCCCGACTCGCACGCGGCCCCGCGGCGCGGTGCTTCTCGCGGCTCCGCGCGCCGCCATCGGCTGCCATTGGCTGCCTCGCCAGCGGGCTCCCCCTCCCAGTGGCGGAGTCATGGCTGTTCTAAATGCGAACGGACGCGGCGGCGAGCGAACGGGCATCACGGGAAAAGCTTTCTCGCAGTTTCGACGAGGACCGGTTTAGCCAGGGGTCGTCGTAGCGCTGGCCGCTGGCTCCGGCTAGGGAAGCTGAAAACCGACGACAGCACCCGCCTCAAGACGACGCTACCGTCTGATATTGTTATCTGTGAACGCCCTTCCCGTTCTCTTGTCGGTGCCACTGCGCTTAGACCGGTGCTTATGAGACACTGCAAAGGCTCGGACGGCGCGAAACCGAGCGGCACACAGCAGGTGTTGTTTGGGGGCGGGCCGGTGGGCAGGAGGGCGGGGGTGACGCAGGCCCGCGGCGCGGGGTGACGGCGGTGTTCCGCTGCGTTCCGTTTGGCCAGGCAGCCGTTGCCCCTTTTAAAGTGCCTCGGACAAAGCGAGCGCCATCATCCGCACGCAATCCACGTCCGACTCGAGTCCTGTCTCTCTCGCACTCACGGGGCGTCCCGTGTAGGTGCGGGAGAGACGTAGCGACTCTCGGAACCAGTCGGCCGGACGGAGAGGTGGGTGCCCGCTCGGTGCCCCCCAGTGCCCCTGCTCCCATTATTCGCAGTTTTAAAGGGGAGCATTGCGCATTGTGCGGCCGACCGGGCCAAACAACGACGCGGCAGTGTCGTTAACGCGATCACAGCCCGTGCCACACTCTGGCCGCGCCACGCCGCGGCACCAGCAGCAGCCGGCCGTCAAATTGGGCCGCCACGGTCCAGTGGGCCAATTAATCCACCTAACTGAGGTCCACAGTAATTGGGCTGCCTGCCTTTGGGTGCCTTTGGCTGCCTGCTGGTGGGTGGCGGAACGGCGTAGCATCGCCGAGATGAGAAAAGTGACCTGGAACGCTGACCGACACAAAGCTATGTCGGAGTAACATTTTCAAAAGGTCTCGCAGAGAGAACTGAGCATGCATTGCTTACTGGGCAAATTGCGATTTCCCCAGGGTCAGTTAGGGTAATTATGGGACACGGGGTAAAAACGGTACTGCTGATTCTTGGTCAAGATTTGAAATTTTGGAACTCATGCCATACCAAATGTTATTTTCACAATAAAAACATCACATTTCGCATTGCACGAGTTCAAAAATGCAAACCCTTCACCAAGAATCAGCTGTGCCATTTTTACCCCGTGTCCCATAATTACCCCAACTGACCCTCCTACAGAGCGAAAAATAACTGTGTCCACCTGAACAGATTTTGCCGCCAACTGTGCGGCGTCGCGGCCCGAAAGCACTCGATCGCCGCTGCGCTGAGCTGCAGTGATGCACTCGACTTTTGCATGCGCGCACTCCACTCGCCCTGCACTCCGGCCACTCAGGCTCCGTCCAGGTGTTTTGTTGAAGCAATACTCCGGGCTCGAGTGTCGCAGTGTCACTGTGAATGCCGGCTCCAGGCTGCGCCGTGCTGCGCGTCCCATTGTGTCATTGCGATCTGGTATCGGGCCGCCAGTGCCGTGCCGTGCCGCGCCGCGCCCGGGGCGTCCGAAGCGATAATCCGGAGAATCCAGAGCGGATCAAAGGGCGGCGGCGCCTTTGACGGCCGAGTGTCTCCGACAGTCTCCGAGGCGCATTCCGACTGGAGCAGTGTAGCGTTGTGGCGGCGAGGACGGCCGGGGCCTTGCCCAGGGCCATCAGGACGAGCAGCGGCACGAGACGCCGCGACGCCGCCAAGGGCCCAAAGGCCCAAAGGGCTCCCCGCCGCCCTTCCACCGCGGCGAGGTGCTGGCGACGATTACTGACAGAAATATCGGCAATCCGACACGCCACTGAGTCCCGACGGCTGGGCGACAGGCGGCGGCGGCGGTGGCTTCCTCGGCGGGCTGTACCGACCCTACCGACCGCCAGGCAAGCCAGGCAGGGCGTCGCGACGCCGCCGGGCGCCGACGCTTTCTAACCGGAGTGTACCGGGCGATCAATAGGACCGCACCCAGCCCACCAACCAGCGACCGCCATACCGACCCTCGCGCCGCGCCCTGCCGCGCCGCACCGCCACCGCGGTAGGGCAGCCACACCGACGCCATTTTGTTTCCCGTCGTCGGCGGCGTCCCCCGCGCCTCCCCCCGACTCCACCCCTTTGGTTGACCCACCCCCCGCCGCGCCGCCACCCCGCGCCGCCACTCCGCGCCGCCACCCCCAGCGGCAGCAGCGCCGTGGAATCCGCGCTATTGCACGCGCGGTGCCGCGGTGCAGCGAGCATGGCCCGTGGGCTCCGTGCGGCCCACTGCCATTGCCGGCAGCGAGTACAGCCCACCCTGAAAACAACGGCGGAAAAAGACAAAAAACGTAACGTTTTCCACAGAGGCATCGCTGCCGCCGCTGCCGCCGCGAAGGGGTATTCAGTTACAGCCGTCCGTATCAGCGTCCCCATCTCTGGGCCGTGATTGGATCAAGCCCGCGGTGGAGGGGGTAATGACAAAGTGTGTGCTCGCGTCCTCGCCGAACGCGCTGCAGTAACGGGCGCGAGGGGCGCGATGCGAGCGATAACGCGCAGGAAGCAGCAGAGTCGTTTTCGTCGTTCTTTCTCGCACTCATGGCGCGTCCCGTAGAGGTGCGAGAGACGGTAGGGAGTAGCGCGCACAGTGGGCCAGAAGAGCGGTGGAGGCGGCCAAAACTCCAGACGCGTTTTGAGCTCCAGCGTCGCTAAATGGGACTCGAATCGAACGTGTGACCCCACCAATGGATTGCTCTCCGAATGAGGAATCCATTGATGGGGTCACACGTTCGGTTCGAGTCCTGTTGAGCGACTTTGCAGCTCAATGGCCGCCTGCACCGGTCTTCTGGCCCACTGTGGGGCGCCAACTTGGCTGCGGTGCTCGATGGATGAAGCACTTCAAACTTTGGGATCGAGTTCGCCGCGGCCAGGGCGGGCACGGGCGGGCCAGGGCCACTGGGCCAGGTGGTGGCGGTGTTTGGCCGACAAGCGCCCGTCTCGCAAAGTTTGGACAGCGCGGACAGCGCCAAAATGTCTGCAGTGTGCTGGCCGCCGTGGGCCGCGGCCTTGCGCTTGCGCGGCGGACAGTTACGACGCGCACAGCGTGGCACAGCCTTGCCTCGGCGTGGCGGCCGCCGATTCAAGCTGAATAAGGCAGCACTATGTCCTTGCGCGTTGCGCGTCGTGTATTTTTGTCCCTCCGCCTTGCGATAAAGTCGAAACGTTTCGCTCCTCCCGGCGGCGGCGGTGGGCCTGGCGGGCTGGCGGCCGGGCGGCCGGGCGGGGCGCAGCAGTAAAACTTGAACATTCTGACACATTGTAATGCGCGCCGTCGGCGTGCCGTCAGCGCGCCGCGTCAGCCAGGTGTCACTTTATGTCCGTTTCCAAAAGTCTGGGCGGCAATTACGGCCCTCATCGGCCGGGGCGCTGCAGACTGAGGGTCGTCTCTGTCTCCCTCGCACCCACACGGAGCGGCGCGTGAGTGCGAGAGCGACGGAGCGACGAAAACGACTCAGTCTGCTCTGCCCCTTCTTTGTCTCGGACACCGACCGCGCCGAGTGGAGGTCCGACGGCCGACGGCCAGGTGAGCTGCCTGCCCTTTACTGCCGAATAAAATGTAACGAGGGCGTTAACGTGTCCGAATGGCGAGTTATGATTTTTATAGGGCATCGCCGGCAGGCCGTTCAAAGGCGGCCGCGCGCCGCCCTGCGCTGCCCGTCCGTGCCCGGCCTGATCACATTAGGCATAAGGCGCGACCTATGGCCGCCACGGCCGCCGGAGTGGAGCGTCCGAGGCGTTTTCCAATGTGGGAAACGAATGTCCCGATTTACATGCGTTAACAAGACTGCAATCTGATTCCGAGTCGTTCTGCTTCCTCGCTCGCACCTGTTCGGGACATGAGTGCGACGGAGGCAGAGCGATGAAAACCACTCTCGGAATCAGTCGGGCAGCTTATGGCCCTCAACGACGCGGATGGAGTGTTGATCGGCGAGGTGACGCTCCGTTCGCTGCACCGGCCCGGCCGGCCGAGGGCCCGGCTGCCCGCCTGGGCGATCACGACGTCTCAATCAAGGCGTTTGTTTATCATCCCGTGTCGGATTATATTGTGAGAAGCATTCATATGTTTGGATTATCGGGGCGACTACCGAGCCGGCGAGCCACCCCTGCTGCTGCTGCCCTGGGGCGGCGGCCCGGCGTCGCTGCGCGTCGCTGTGCGTCGCTGCCACCCCCACGACGCGCACCCCGCCGCCCGCGCCGCCCCTCAGCTTGGCCGCCGCGCCGCCGGAGAGCCGCCCCGGCCGGGTTCCGGACCCCCGGGGCGCGGGCCGCGCCGGCCGCGCGGGCGACGTCAACGGAAAATTCATTATAAGTGGCTCTCGAAAGCGCTCTGATCCCGTTCTGACCCTCGCCCTCGCTCGCCCCGGGCCTCGTCCTCCGGGCGGCCGTCACTGCCTTCCCCGTCGACGTTCACATCCTCTTATCGCCCTGCAATATGTTGCCGGTCAAATGCCGGCAGCCCCGTCCGTCCACCGCCTCGCCTTTCATGACGCTTTTAACTTTTCTTCTATATTTTTCTCGGCGAAAAATACGACGATTAGAA